TCTAACAAGAAAATCGACTTGAACATCACGAGACACTAAACTGTCATGCGCCTGAGTTAGGCCACAGAACTCAGGCCTGATACATTATTGATGTCGGTTCCTTCAAAGAATCTCATGGGAAAAAAATTCTAAGTTGCTTAAGCAGGCCCATTTGCTGGGTTCGCATTTAAAAACAAAGAAATTGTTAAAAGAATGTATTTCTCTTTCAAGAAAACATTTTTAAAATCTTATTTTCACATTGAAAATAAAGCTAAAACTCCCAAAGTGGTTAGGCTGATTGTCTGGCTTATTGGAAGAAAACCAACAAACTAGTACATGAATACTGTAATAATTTTTTAGTATTTTGCTTGATTAGAGTCATCAGTATAATACTATAATTTTTAAAGTATGTGCTCCACAAAACAATAAAGGAACATTTTAATATTCTTTAAAATTCCAAATAAAGCTGAAGGGAAGTCTGTACTCCATTTCCATCAGCTGTCATCTCATTTCACCATAGGCTGATGTATGTTTTAATTAATTTGTATTACCAACTTACACATTTTTATAAACAACCTCTATGTCTTCAATGTTACAAAATGAGTCCCGTAAATAAAGAGTTTGTCTCTACCTTCTTGTTTCATGTGTGGAATTGCTGAAATCTTCTATTTAAGAATACTAAATCCTTTTTTTAAAAAAAAAATTGTGTCCCAATATTTTAGTTTAATCTTTTCAATAAATGGAAACTATACCTCTGCAGGAATCTTTTCCCATACTTAATTATTAGCCCATCTGACTTCAGGTGAAGTCTTAAGGTCCCCTTTACAAAGTAAAATGGACTTTATAAAGTCTACAAAACTTTTTCTGTATTCCCTATTACAGTTCTTTATTTTAATAACAGACTTCTACATAATTAATCCCTTGGAGTTTGCCATCACATAATCTACCCTGGGTATGAACTGTTCCATGTGTATTTTTCTGGCAAGAAGACCTCTGGAAAAAAATAAACAAATAAACAAAGACCAAAAGGAATCGCACACATTGACAAATTGTGTCAAATACAACTGGTCTCATGTACCTATAAACCACAGGACAAGGGCAGAATTCTCAATCCATCTTCTCCAAGGTTTGGGAAAGGAGATCTCACTGTGAAGAACGTTTCCCTTTGACAGGAAACAGTAATATTTCCTTACTTGGGAGCTAAAGCGATAAGGCAGTCATAAATAAATGGTGCATAACTACTGCTATTCAAGTACAGTTGGGTTTTTTTTTTTTTTTTTGGACTGTCTCCCACACTTTTTGCCTAATCACAGTTTAGAATTTAGCTGAGAAAAATTCCTATGAATTGAAATTCAAACAAATAACATTAGGATTGTATTATTTTTCATAAACCCATTTCACATATCAAGCAGTGCCCAAGCAAAAGAAAACTACTATACATGTATTATTTCACACAGTTTTGAAACTTGAACAATTCTCATTTGAAAATAGAAAAAAACACAATTTTTGCAGAGTGGATGGGGACCACACTGATTCCTTTTTTAAAAAGGATTTCCTGTAAAAACAGAAATTGGCAATTTACTCTAAGAAAACACAGCAGAAGCTGGGAAGAAACTCGAGGATGCCTAAATTTCCACTGTGGAACAACTTTCGCTGCCCAGTGGGGAGACAGGAAAAAAAAAAAAAAAGGAACACCTGCAACAGGGTGGGAAGAGAGGAAGATAAGCTGGGACTACACATCCAGTGAGCAGAGAATGAGGCCGGTTTCTAATCCAGGAAGAGAGGGAGCTGGCAAGAAAGGAACATATATATGTGTTTTAAGAAGAATAGCAAAGCGGATTTTGTAGTCACCTGCCACATCAGAGAAAACCAAGAAGGCAGTATTTGCTGGAGAGAAGGAACCAGTGCACAGCAGATACTGATGAGTTTAAAGCACCTTTTAACTAGAGGAAAGATTAGTGAGGTGCTGAAAGTTGCTGCCACCAACTGGGCATCAGGCAGACTCGGGGGTTACAAATCACTTTCACTTCATAAACTGTGCATTTCCAATCAGAATGGTAAACAGGTTTCACTATAGTCAAAGAGGTGAGTTTTGAAGCTGGTAATATTTTAACAGACAAAAACAGAAATTTTAAGCAATAACTGGAAAAATGTAGTACATAACTGCTTTTTCTGGTGATTTATACAGCAGGGCACCATTAAAGGATTTATTCATATGAGACTGTAATGGCAATAAGCAGAGGGAATAAATTTAAAATGTTATTCAAATTTTACACGAGAAATGGGGTTTGCTTAAAATCTATGGGAAAGCCTTTGATCCAGCAATTCTATTTTTACTAATTTATACCACATATAAACATGTGTATGTAAACACAGGTATGCAGAAGAAAGTTGGTAATAGTGAAAGACTCAATGTAATCTAAAGAGCCATCACTAGGGAACTGTTTCAGCCACATAATGAGGTTCTATACAACAAGAAAATGGGGTCGGGTGCGGTGGCTCACACCTGTAATCCCAGCACTTTGAGAGGCAGAGGTGGGTGGATCACTTGAGGCCAAGAGTTTGAGACCATCCTGGCCAACATGGCAAAACCCCATCTCTACTAAAAATGCAAAAAATTAGCCAGGCTTGGTGGCATGCACCTATAATCCCAGCTACTCTGGAGGCTGAGGCAGGAGAATCACTTGAGCCCAGAAGGTGGAGGCAGTAAGCCAAGATTGCACCATTACACTCCAGCCTGGGCAACAGAGCAAGACTGTGTCTCAAAAAAAAAAAAAGAAAGAAAGAAAGAAAATGCACGTAGTAGATCCATATGAGTTAATAGATGGATGAATTAAAGATACATAAAAAGTAAAGTTCAGAATATTGCATGCACAGTATATTCCATGTATTAAAAAGGATACACACACACATATGTGTGTATGTATACATATATATTTATGTGTTTATCTGTACATGCATACATATGCCTATAAGATTTATAGAAAAATACCCAAGAAAATGGTCTCTGAAAGATGGCAGGGAAATATTTTTAATTGTATATATTTTTAAATTATTACTTGCACCCCCACCCTGTGTGTGTGTGTGTGTGTATAACTTACTATAAAATCTTATAGTTAACATGAGAATTAGGAACACACATAATTACAATTCTATTAATACCCTGTTTTTAGGAAGGCTTTAAAAATAGTTTGCAATAGGATAAGGTCTGTGTTAATGATCAAATACTGTGAGGAGCACGAGAGGTATCTCTCTATAATCACAAACAAATGTAAAACCAGACAGAGAAAGCAGTGAGTAAAAGTGTGGCATCCTGTTAAGCAACAAAGTAAAGCTTAGTTTCTTTTTTCACATTCAGTCTGTGCCTCCCAAGGGAACACCCTAGTTGGTGACAGCCCAGAGAAATGAGACAAATGTCTGACCAGGCCCCACACCTCCCTGAAGATCTTCAGCCACAGAATTAAACCCCCACTTCCTTTATATACAGGAGCAATTCTCTCAGAATAGATATTAAGATAATATTATGTAGGAGAAATGTATTTTTGAAGGAAAAATACTGGACTAAATGAGGCCCTCTTGAGAACATATGAAAATCAGAGCCTCAGTCTACTTACTGAACTTGCCACGTGCCTTGCACACAGGACAATAAACGTCTGCTGTCTGATCAGGGTCAGGCTTACCATGATAAGCAAACTTCCTTCCAACATTATCGGAATTCTGGGTTTCTTTTCCAGAAAGGCCAAGATGGAACCGAATTAATCGTAACTATGTTCTGTGCTATTTTATCACAGCCTAAGTGCTTGGCTCTTACAATCATCGTGCCCCTTCTCCAGACTAGGAGTCAAAAACTGGTCTGGTGAGTTTACTGCACTTTTTCTTCTCGTATCTTCTCATATCTCATATCCACACAAACACAAATTTTACTACATATACATGACTGTAACACCCCATAACAAAAAAAGAGTCAGGGAAATGATCAGCCACGTATCCAAGTGGACACCATCACTTGGTGGCCCAGAGCCACATAATAAAGCTACAGATCCACTCAGGAAAAGAGCATCAGTCAGGATGGTAAGAATTTAATACAAAATCTCCCTATATATACTGTCAGAGTTTACTTAACAGGCTCCTCCAAGAAGATAAAAGGGGTCATTGACAGTCCATCCTGCTGTTTCCATGGAGGCTTTAACTTAAACAATTGCAGACAAATTTCTCTTAAAGGAAATGTATTCCCACTGTCCTTCAACACAGGAAAGTGACAACCCTTAGTCAACCCGCCTAATTTAAATCTTTCTGGCCGAAACATCTATAATAGCGGCATGGGAAGCCAGTGAAATGGTCAACTGAATGTACATAATACAAACACCATTAGTTAAAAATACCTCCTTAAGGCCGGCCACAGCAGCCTTACTGCTGCAGCGAAACGGAGAGCCCCACACAACCCAAAAAAACCAGTTCTCAGAACCACTTGCCCTGTTCTGCTTCCAGTGTAGACATCTAAAGGAAGCACTGCCCGGAAAACCCAATCCGTAATCGTAATAAGCATAATTTACGGAAGAGTCGACTACTCTTGTGATTTATCCTCTGACTCTCATGGGAATCCCTTCCTTTCCTTGCCCCCTTTCAAATACAGCATCTACCAAGATGACCCCAAGGAAAGTACTTTCCTCTAGACACAACCAGAATTGGTATTGCAGGGAAAGGAATGGGCTTCTCCTCTTATCCCACTCGCAACTCCTCCCCTTCTTCCTCAAGGAACCCTTCTCGCCTCCCAAAATCTGCCTCAACAATGGCCCAAGATTCCTTTCAATCCTGTCCTCTCCTTTGGGGCAGAAATCTTTGGGAGTAGGGGCAAGGTAGTTTAACCACGAACGGGGTGGGGACTAAACAACCCTAGCACCTCTAAGGTGCCCCCAGGAGGTCTTGCCAAGGAGTCTTCCACAGGGAGAATCATCCTGCCCGTTGTTCTGCATCTTGAAACTTGGGAGACCCACACCAAAGGAGGGGACCGGTTCCTTTACCCTTTAAGCGCGTCGTGTCCTCCGCCGCCTCTTCTCTTGGCCCGACTGGCTCTGGTTTCCTTCACGTTCCCAGCCTCCAAATTGGTGTCCGCCCCATGACTCGTGTAGGACGCTAAAAGCACGGTAAATCCCAGGAAGATCTCCAGCAGGCCCCCTCGACGCATGATGCCGAGCCGCCGCCGGCTCCCGCCGCCTCCTGCCGCGCCCGGGGCTCGGTCTGCGGCCGCCGCTGCGCCCTGAAGCGCACCGCGCCGCCGGGGTCCCGCTCTCCCGCCGCCCGTCCCCCGGGCCGGGCTCCTCCCGCCTTCTCCAGGCGCTGCTCCCACTTCAGGCGGCCCCTGCCAGCTGCAACACAGAGACAAATCCCCGAGGCGGGGAGACTTTCAGGGCATCGGGATGCTGAAGCCTCGCGGTCCCCATTCCCGAGCCCAACCCGTGCGCCGCCTGCGCGTGGCGCAGTTAATTTGGGTAAGGGAAGACCGTTTGGTCCACAGCTGGCTGGAAAGCCCAGGCCCCCGGCGGCAGCTGCCCCGGCCAATCCCTTGGCCTCCCGGGCCCCGCCAAAAGAGCGCAGCGCAAAGTACCCATGTCCCCAGAGATCCTAAGTCCCGGGCGAGCTCTCTGGGTTTATTTTTTAGTGGCACGAATTGCGCGCGATGCGCGCTATAAACGCCCCACTCCTCAGCCTGCCCTCTCCGCCAGGCTGGAAGCCCGCCGCGCCGTCCCCGCCGACTCCGGGCGCTGCCACCGCCCCCCGAACATCTGACGCGGAGCCCGGCACCAAGAGCCCCGGGCCAGGAAGCCGTCAGGCAGGGGAGGGCCAGCGCCAGCTGTGGACGTTCCGGGACAGCCCCTCACCCCAGTCCCTGTCCCTGCCCTCGGCGCGGCGCAAACGCAAAAGCCTCCGTGGCCGCAGCTCCAGCCCGGGTGGCTGCCCGACCCCCGTCGAGACCCAGGCTGCACCCACTGGAGAAGCGGCGGCTCCGACTCCCGAGGAGGCGGCGGCGGCTGCTCCCAGTCGTGGCCGCTACAGCCACTGCTCCGCTCCGCTCGCAGCTGTCCCAGCTGTGGCCGCCTGTCCGCTTGTGGCACCCACTGTCTCTGCCGCGGCTCCCGCGGCCCCCTCCTTTCCCCACCTCTTCAAGTATCGTCCGCGCAGCGGTTTCTCGCGAGAGAAATACTTTTTTAAAAAAAAGAAAGAAAAAGAAAATGACACCCCCTCCTTCATCCCCCTCATCACCACCCCACCCCCCGGCCCCATCCATCCTCCCTTTCCACTCCCCTTTGCCAGCCTCCGCCTCGGCGCGGGGCCTCTCGCTCGCAGGATTAGCGCAGTGGGAGGAGGCAGAGGTGATCAGGTCCTGCCCGGCCTGGGACTTTTTGTCTTGAGGTGGGGAGGAGAGAAATGGGAAGAGGTGGAGTAGCGGTTTTAGCCCGCTCTGCGGCTGGGAGGTCTAGATCCGAGATTAGCCTCTCCCGTGATCGGGGAAGCCCTGCCGCAGCAGAAAGTTGTTCCACCTGCGCCAAGAATGCGCGCTGGAGACGGCTGTCCCGGAGGCCCTGGCCCGAGAGGAGACCAGTCCCCGCTGCCTGCGCCTCCCGGTAGCGCGCTCCCTGCGCCTCTCCCGCCGGACACTCAGCAGACGCAGGAGGCCGGGAGGCTAAGACTGGGTGTGTCGCAGGCCGGGACCGCGGCAGGGGCTGCTGTGCCGACCGAGGAGAGGGCTCTGCCGCTCCCACTTGCCCCGGGTTGTGGAGAGCCCACTCCAGACGCGGCTCTTCTGAGGCTCAATTCAAGCCATCCAGGCCTGAATCCAGGATGCTCTCAGTCGGTGTCCAACCCAGGGGCCTGTAAATGTTGGAACCTAGGATTTAGGATGGGAGCGGTGAAGGGATGGTCCTCTTGCACAGCCCAGATTAAGATTGGGGTTCATCTGGAGTACTCTACTTACACCCTCCCTGTCCCGTCGCCCTCCCACACACACAGCTGCCTCTCCCCAGGGTATGCACGGCACAGTGAATTTATTGGCTTTGAAAGGTATAGTATTTGTGGCATCCTTATATGGATAATGCCCGATGATGCCTGCACCCTCTAACAGTTTAGGAAGGCCGGAAGTCGCACACTGGGTCCTGGCTGCTGTAACTGGAGACCCCCAGAAAATCCCCTGCAAGCGGCCACCAGCCCACTGTCGAGCCAAAAATAAAAGCTCAGCACAAAGAGGTACCCTGGGAATGTATCCTGTTGAAAGGGATTTTCCTTATTTGTAATCGTTTGTAAAGGGGCCCAGAGAGTAGGGTAGAGAGACCTGAGCAAGTTATTCAACTTCTTTCCAATTATAAGATGGGACTTGTAGTGTCCACCACACAGGGTTATAATGGTGATGATGGACATGCTGAACTGCTATGATACATGAAGATGAAACAGTAAAACTGTGGGAACCATGAGCTGATCTAAAGCCGTAATCCTCTAAGTATGTATGTGATCTACTTTAAGTCTCACCTGCAAAAGGTCTCTTAGCAGATTCATGAATGACAGCCTTGGTCACACACTCCTGGCTGAGTAAAGGAGATCATTCATTCAAGATGTTTTTACTGAGCACGAACTGTGTACCACTTAGTGCATTGTTGAACTACACTTCAACAATTTTTAACAAGGCAGGTTCAACAATTTGAACCCGGCTACTTCAACAATTTAGTGAACAAGGCAAAAATGTGTCTCCCCTCACACATCAGGTAGTCGACAAGGAAAGGCAGACTTGAAACAAATAATGGTCCAATTGTTGAGCGCCAGACAGGATAAGTACTGGGTGCTTGCTTGGAGGATATATAACAAGGGGACTTGACCTAGGCTAGGGCTGATCAGGAAAGGGATCCCTGAGGAAGTGGTATTTAACTTAAGTCTAAAATATAACTAGACTCTACTTAGGATAGCAGTTCTCAACCCTGGCTATGCAGTAAAATAATGAGAGGCTTAAAAAAAAAATTCTGACACCAGGATGGGCGTGGTGGCTCATGCCTGGGAGGCCAAGGCATGTGGATCACTTTAGGCCAGTAGTTCAAGAGCAGCCCAACCAACATCATGAAAACCCGTCTCTTCTAAAAATAAAAAAATTAGCCAGGTGTGGTGGTGCATGCCTGTAAATCTTGCTACTCAGGAGGCTGAGGTACTAGAATCGCTTGAACCCAAGAGGTAGAGGTTGCAGTGAACGGAGATTGTGCCACTGCACTACAGCCTGGACACAACAGCCTGGGCACAACAGAGCGAAACTCCACCTCAAAAAAAAAAAAGAAAAAAAAAAATTCTGACAGCAGGCCCCAACACCCAGAGTTTCTGATTTGAGTAGTCTGTAGTGGATCCTTCATATGGATATGTTTTTTTTTTTTTTTTTTTTTTTTTTTTTTTTTGAGACAGAGTCTTGCTCTGTCGCCCAGGCTGGAGCGCAGTGGCCGGATCTCGGCTCACTGCAAGCTCCGCCTCCCGGGTTTACGCCATTCTCCTGCCTCAGCCTCCCGAGTAGCTGGGACTACAGGCGCCCGCCACCTCGCCCGGCTAGTTTTTTTTTGGTATTTTTTAGTAGAGACGGGGTTTCACTGTGTTAGCCAGGATGGTCTCGATCTCCTGACCTCGTGATCCGCCCGTCTCGGCCTCCCAAAGTGCTGGGATTACAGGCCGGCCCTGGGTAGGGAGATGTAAGGAGGGAATTCACACTGGGAAAAGGATCTGAGCAGAGGGACTATGGATCAGAAGAAAGCAGGGCTGTTGGACATCCAGAAAGGCCTTGTCCTGCCCACCAGTTTTCTGGGCTGCTCTGCACCTACAGGGGAATCTGGAAACTGCATGCTTTACTTGTACTCCAGCAGCATGCAAGACTTGCTGTGCCCTCTCTCTCTCTCAGAATCTTACACTCAGTGACATGTTGGACAGCAGCATCCCAACACAAGCCTTTTCTAAGGCTTCTGCCCAGGAAGTAAAGGCCAAATCCAGTGCCCTGCAAGTCCCCTCTTCCAACATTTCTGGACATTTCTATTACTTCTAACTCAAACTACCTTCCAGGGTTTCACCTCAAAGGGAGGGATTTGGATTAAACGCTTTTATCTGGCCTTTGCTTTCCCCGCAACCTCCTCTTTATTCACTGGCTTCTTTCTCCAATAAAGGAAAGATTCTTTCTTCATATTGGATGGCAGCTCCAAGCCATATACTCCCCTCTTTGAGCAATAAGTCTCATGTTCTAACCACAATGGTGGAAGATCTGCAAGGGAAGGGGAGGCAGAGGGAACTTGATTACTTAAAAGTAAATGCATTTTTAAATATACAAGAAATATTCCCACTATCTAGGCAATCAACCTATATTAGAGTAGCATGCCACTTATGTCAAAATTCAGTAACGAATAATAAAAATCTGTGTCTTTGCAATAAGATTTTCTTGATGCCAGATGACTGAGGACCCAATTCTCCCTAAACCTATCACAGACTTTTTTTTTTTTTTTTTTTTTTTACATAATAGATTGTTTTGCGCTGTTTGCAAATTAAGTCCATGGGCTACAATTCCTTGCTTCCATCTCCTTATTTCAAAGAATTCTATTCACCCTAAGAAACCCTGCTCAAATTCCTTCTTGTTCATAGGTGTTTTAGCTCATGGCCATCTCTCTTGTTCTAACATCATTGCACTTATTAACTGAGTCATTCACTGAATAGTTAATTAATTTTAATACATGATTATAGTATGCCTACTATATGCCAAGTGCCATGTCAGGACTGACCATTAGGGATATTTCTTCTGTTGCTATCGTGAACTATTAGGTTGGCACAAAAGTAATTGCAGTTTTTGCCATTTAAAAGTACTAGCGAAACCACAATTACTTTTGCGCCAACCTAAATATATATGTTTTTTCTATAGCCATTGTACTTACTCCCCCTAGCTGTATGATATTAAAGACAAGGTGACATTCCTTATTCAAGGAAACTTGCTAGTGTCCTGAAAACTATGACAAAACACAAATACTTTGTTTATTGTTTGATCAATTGAAACCTTGTGGCATTTTTAGCTTCAAGTCACTCTCATCATTTATACCTCCTGTATAAATGTCTGTGTCAGCAAAGGTTCTTTGTCTACAAGCAAGAAAACTAGTTATGGAAAATTTAAGCAAAAAAAAAAAAATGACCTTTTAAGTATTATCAGGTTATGAGATGGCTCACTGAACTTGACTTTGTGATAAAATGGGGAGTCGTACAGTTCTGGGATAATGGTAAGCAGAGAACCTCTTCAGGCTGATGTCATGTGAGTAAATCAATTCCAATCATTTTGATCTCTTTGCCACCCCTCTTAGAGTTCAAATTCAAAAGGCAGAGTCCTATTGACGTATCTATTTAGGGAACTTGGGCACAATCCTGGCCAAAGGATGATGGAGTATCTTGATGGGTAGCAGAACAAGATTGCATGCCACGGGAAAGGGGTTCATCTATAAAAGATGGGCAAAACACTATTTTGGTCATGCACCAAAAATTGAAGGGCATTAATGCTTGTCAGGGGCAAACAAACAAACAAACAAACAAATCTAGATGTTTATTACACCATCTCAAGAACTTTCAAGATGTTTAGAGCTTACTGAAATAAAGCATTTTCAAGCTTTACTTGGAAGATGCATACTCTAAAATCAGTTTCTCGGTCTTCCTTTGCAAACTAAATAATGACTTTACAAAAAGCTAATTAGACTTTCATGTAGCCCCAGTTCCTGCCATTGATGGTGGCAAATAGATCACTCATGATACGACCAACTACATCTTCAAAAATTGGCTTCTGACTCTTAGTGAGTATTGTAGAATTTTGTAGTTATAAAAATATAATGCATATATCACAGCTACCAGATACCACACCTACTTACATATATATATAGAGAGAAAAATCATACATTCACATACATAATCACATTTAATCTTTACCACAACTTTTGGTAGATTGAAAAACATAGCCACAATATTTCTTATCTTCTTCCATCAAGAAGTAGAGTCTATTTCTCAATTCTTTGAATCTGAGTTGGCTTTGTATTTTTCTTTTACCAGTAGAATAGCATAGAAGGAACATTGTATGACTTCCAAAGCTAGGCCTTAAAAAATCTTGCAGCTTCCTCTTTTACCCTATTAGATGTTGCCCTGAGATGGATAGGCCTTCAAAAAGTCCAGGATGAAAGACAATGTGAAGAGAGACAGCCCCAACTCTCTCAGCTACATCAAGACTCTTCCTG